AGAAGGGTTAGTAGTTTACCTGAGGTTACACAGTGAATTAGTAGCAGAGCCAGGAAGAGCCACAGATATCAAGAGCTTTGTCCACCTTACCACATGTAATAACTATGAAACATAAGTTCTATATGAGGATGTATATAGCTTCTAAAATGCCTAGCGCAATGTCTGGAATTATCAGCCATCATCATTATCACAATTATCATCATCATCATCATCATGGTTTGGAGTATAAATTTTGGTATTAGCCAGACTTAAGGTGAGTCTCAGTTCTGCTACTTACTGTGTAACAGTAGTTAAGCTACTTATTTTTTCTTAGCCCCAATTTCTTCATCTATAAAATGGGAAAAAACTAGTGTCTACCTAATAGGATAGTTGTGAGGATTTTATACATACTCATTTGAATGTGTATGTGTATATGTATATATTAGCTGTTCCATAGTATTTATTAACCTATATAGGTATAGAGAGTCAAACAAGAATACACATATATATGGTGTATCGGTGGAATTTCTCTTTGCTATGTCAAAAAGAAAGCCAGAAAGTTAACATTTACTGAGTTTTCACTGTATATAGATATCAGCACATGAGAGTATGTAACAAAGAAAATAGGAGAAGAAATGCTATCTGGGATGTTATAATATAGGAACTGTTTATTATTCTCAACAAATATATACCAATTACCTCCTACACAATGATAAATAAGACTTGAGTTTCTGCTTTCAAGGAGCTTGCAGTCTAATGGAGGAAGAAACCAGACTGTTATAACATGGAGTGATATACACATTGCAGAGCTAAGAGCTATGGAAGCTCACAAAAGCGTATTCCATCCAGTAAGGGTGGAGGAAGGGCAGTAGCAGAGGTTTCTCAAGTAAAAGAATAAGGAGGAAGGAGTTGGCCAAAGATGAGAGGAGTTGGAAAGAGCCTAAAGCCACAAACCAGCATCTATTCCAAATCTCCAGAGTGCTTTCTTAAACTGCAGGGGCTAAAGAAAGAAAAACCACATTTTCCCCATCTCCCTAAAGTCGGGGTTCTGCTTCTGCCAATTAGAAGCACTTGGAAGGTGGATCCCAGGCTGGGGTTATCTGCTTTGTTTCTGCTGGCAAACTCAGCGTGGACACACTGGGCTTTTCTGCAGCATTATTTCAGTGTCTGGGTACTAATTCCATAGGTGTCGTGAGATAGTTGCAGGGGTAGCAGTGGCTTCCTGATTTTTGGATCACAACTACAGTGGTGTCTTTGAACTCAACTCTACCAGTGGAGACGCCTGACTCCCCAACTTTCTGATTATTGCAGAGGCAGCAGCTCTCCCAGTTGACCAGTCCAGCAGTTTTATCCTAGGAATCATTCATTCCTGGAGGCCCTACTAAGTGACCCTTCCTTTAGCCTTTTCAATGATTTCGTAAGCTCCCGTTGCCCTGTATTAAATCCCTTTTCACTTAAAATGGTTTGAGTGATTCCTATTTCTTGCATCTAATATACCAACAGAATGCAAAAAATGCAAAATGTGCCATACATAATAGTTTGTAGGGAGTCAGCAAACTTTTTCTGTAATGGGTCAAGATATTAAATATTTTAAGTGTTGTGGGCCACTTAAGATCTTGATCTCCTTTTCCTCCAGTGTTAAGTATATTCACATTGTTGTGCAACAATCTCACAATTTCATTTTGTGAAACTGAAACTCTATACTCCTTAAATAACAATTTCCCTTTTCTCTTTCCCCTGACTCCCAGGGACCCTGGCAACACCAATATACATCTATAAATCTGACTACTCTAGATATCTCACTTAAGTGGAATCATACAGTATTTGTCTATTTGTAACTGATTTATTTCACTTAGCATAATATCCTCAAAATCCATGTTATAGCATATCATAGGATTTCCTTCCTTCTTTCCTTTGTGAGGCTGAATAATATTCCATTGTACGTATACACCACATATTCTTTATCCACTAATCTGTTTATGGACATTTAGGTTGTAACCACCTCTGGGCTATTGTAAATAATACTGTTATAAACATGGGTGTATAAATACCTCTTCGAGATCTTGCTTTCAAATCTTTTGGATATATACCCAGAAGTGGGATTGCTGAATCATATGGTAATTCCATTTTTAATTTTTTGAGGAACCACCAGTTTTCCATAGTAGCTGCACCATTTTACATTCCTACCAACAGTGCACAAGGTTTCCAGTTTTTCCACATCTTTACCAACACTTTTTTTTTTTTAATATTAGTTATCCTAATGAGTGTGAGGTGATATGTCATTGTGGTTTTGATTTGCATCTCCCTAATGATTGGTGATATTGAGCATCTTTTCATATGTTTGTTGGCCATTTGTAGCTCTTCTTTGCCCATTTTTTAATCAGGTTATATTTTTGTTGTTGTTGAGTTGTAGGAGTTCTTTATATATTCTGGATATTAACCCCTTATCAGATCTGATTTCCTTAGGTTGCTTTTCCACTACGCTGCTTACGCCAGTCAAGTTTTATTCTGTGCTCATGAATGAAAGTCTAGTCTGGAGCAACTTGCCTGCAGGCTGGTCAAATCTGGAGCCATCTTCCGACCTAAATACACTAGCGGAAATGAGCCAGAGAATCTTTATCTTGGACACTTCAGGTCCTAGGTACTCTGATTTCCTATGATATCGAAAAGCACACCTATGCCTTAACTTTGAACCAGAAGCAGCCAGTATGAGGTTTCTGGGGCTGCAGAATTAGAAACAACCTCAAGACTGGAGAGTAAATGGGAGTCATGGAGGTAGACTCATCAGATTCAGGTTTTGCATTATTAAGTGTCAGCCACTAGAAAGCTGAAATCAGACACAATTTCAATATTTATTTTTCAATTTAACCATGCTCCTTTTGACTACAAATGGTAGTTCAGTTCAACTTCTTTGATTCACCATGTTTATTCTAAAGTGATAAAGTATCTTAACCCTAGAGATACCTTAATGATTGCCAGTCAAATATGTGGAGAGTTAATTCATGACACAGTCTAAAATGCCACCCTGTTCACACAATACTTGCTCCAAAAAGAAACCTTGCTGATTCTGTATTAGTGAACATGAACACCATCACACGGTATATTTAACTAAAATAGCCTATTTGAGATGTATTAATTGCCAGTACAAAATCAATCACAGGGATGTAAAGTACAGCATACGGAATATAATAATATTGTAATAACTACATAAGGTGTCAGATGGGTACCAGACTTAACAGGTAATCCCTTCGTAAGTTATGCAAATGTCTAATCACTATGCTGTTCACCTGAAACTAATATAATGTTGTATGTCAACTGTAATTGAAAAACATTTTAAATATATCTTGTTTGAAGAGATAAGATTCTGATTTATAAAAGATTTATTTCCTATTCCCACTACTTGCCTTTTAGAAATATTTAGGAAGCCCTATGTGCATTATTTTTCTGGTCCCCACAAGAAAAAGAAAATGGGAAGGTTAAAGACAGGGCTGCATATGGTCAAGGAGAAGAAACACTGGAAATGCAGGATCCTAATTCTCTTCCTCCCTGACTTTGATGTTAAGTTGTTGCTATTAAAATATTTATGTACAATGATGTTCATCACTGTATTACTTCTAATCATGAATGTCAGAAAGTGACATTTATAAATGACTTTAGCTGTAAATAACAGAAAACCCAAACACAAATAGGTTAAAACAATAGTTATTTTTTCTCATCATAACAAGGAATCCAGAGATAGATGGTTGTTGGCATTGGTTTAAATGTTGAACAATCTCAAGGCCAGAAGCCTTTAATTTTCTTAATTTTTCCCTCGTGGATGAAAGATGGCTACTATAGCTCTAGACATCTCATTCCTAACAAAGTAAAAAGACTAGGTAAGAAATGATACCAGTTTAGGCTGTCCCATTTTATTTGGAAGGCAAAATTTCCTGCAACTTCCACCTCAACCTCAGAAATCTTTAGCTTACTTCCCAATGGCTGGAATTTACACCACCTCTAGTTGTAAGTTAAGGCTAGGAAAATGAAATACATGGGAATATTTGGTTTCCCAT